AAAATCGGATCTATCTGGAGGGCGGTAAAAAATTCGGAAAATCTTATCTGCTGCGTGTAAAAGGGGAGAAAATAGGTAAAATAAGTAAAAATGAGAAAGGATTGGTAGCTATGTAGTTTGAATTTTCTGTTTCTCTTTGAAAATCGGTGAATTTTCTGAAAAAGCAGATAACTTGTTTAAAAAAATGAAATTTTTAGAAAATCTGAATTTTTGATAAAAAAGCTGAAATTTAAGAGATAAAAGTGAAAAAAGCGGAAATCCGCTAAAAAGCGGAAAAATCTCATCCCTGATAAGTTCAAAGCTTTTAAGGGTTAGCGCCAAGTTTTAGACTGAATTTAATAGCATTGGCAAAGGTTAACTAATTTGAGTGATGTTTTTAACACTATTTGATTTAACATCAAAATGCAACAGTGATTATTAAAACAGAAAAAAAAAAAAAAAAAAAAAAAAAAAAAAAAAAAAAAAAAAAAAAAAAAAACGACATTTAAGCTCCAAATAGATTTATTTCACTTTCCAAAATGAGAATGTTTATCACTCCATATTTTATAGGCTGTCATTTATAGAATAATTTTTGTTTATATATACTAACAATACTCACCCATCCATTCTCCTAGCAAATTCTACAATTTCTGTACGCTCCCTATCCCCACGATATTCAACAGTTTTATGACCTTTAATACTGCAAAATACACAAATTATTAAATAAATAAAAAATACACATTCATGGAGAGGGTGATGTTTAAATCAATTCTTTACATTTTAAGCTATTTATGCAAAACTAAATATGCATTTCTCTTTTTAAAAAAATTAAAGCGTTATAATTAATGTAGGGAACAGTTAAAATTTTGGAATTCTGATTTATATTCTCAGCCATTTACAAACACTTCTTTTCAAATATAAATAACATTTTGAAAACAAAAGTTAAAGAAGTGGTAAGGAATAGAATACAAGCTAAAAACTAAGTATTACTTTGTTTAAATTAAAAATAAATACACATTTCCTTTTAAATCACAATCATAATTTTTTTTCCAACCAAAAAATTTATAAAAACCCAATAGCAGTAATATATACATAACTCAGTCCTAACTAATATGAATAAAGGTTACTCTAACTAATATGTTACTCCTAACTAATATGTGCATATTGACAGCTCAAAAGCTGTCAATAGCACATTACCTAGCTAATCTGTAAATTAATGATAATTCATTCATTAGAGTGCAGGAATTCATTATAGTGTGGGATCAAGAGTTTCACAATTTACCAAGGTAATTAGCACATTAATGGTCTATGTATTTTTACAGTTCAAAAAGTTTGTTTGATTGTATTGACTTGATTTTTTAAATATCTAAAAATAAATAAATTACATTATATTAATTTTCTCAATGGTAATAATATTTTAAACAACTCTATTCTTCTTATTATATTTTTTAAAGTGATTGATTCTATCTTCTAATGTGTTGAGTGCTGTAACTTAATTTTTTAGATAATGGTAAAAAACTAACATTGTGCAAATTTCTGCGTCCAAAAACTTTAACGTTTCAGCAAAGGTCTAGTCTTCACTTGAATACCTATTTGATAGTTTTTAGAATACCTTGGTTATTTGAGAAATGAAATTTTTTTTTGACACTTTAACGGATCATTTAAGTTAGAGGTGCACAACCTGTGACTTGTTGCCTGTTGATGTGCAGCCTGCAGGAACTTCGAAACGCAATAAAAAAATATTAAAAAAAATCTTAAAATTAAAATACTTAATTCAAATTTATATTACTCTATAAAATGCATATATTTTTTGCACTTTCATTCTGTAAGCTTCTTTTTTGTTAGAATTTATATCCCCCTATATATATATATAAGAATCGAGATATTAGCAGATTCCAGGCTTGTCAGAAGCAGCGTCGTTTAAACTACGAAAATCGGATCTATCTGGAGNTATATATATAGGGGGATATAAAATATATATAATTAATTAACTCAATAATTAATTTCTATATAGGGGGATATAAATAGAAATTAATTATTGAGAAAAATGGAAAAAGTTTTTTTTTTAAAAAAAATATCAGTTTTTTTAGTTTTAAACAAATTCAAATAATTAAAAGTATTTAATTTTCTGCAAATATATTATTAAAAGATCACTGGCAAAATTATTTAATGCTTAGGGCACTAATGTTTACATAAAAATTCTCATATTTGTCGCTAACATGACTAAATATGTGTGTGGCCCTTCGTTCATCTACCTGATGTGCAAGTGGCCCTTCACTCAAAAAGGTTGTTCACCCCTAATTTAAGTTAATCTGCACATTAGTTAGTTAATCTGTAGAATAACTTTTCACTACTTTAGCAGGGTAACATATATATATTACATTTCCAGAATAGAATTTAACCTGGGAGGACGTCCAAGGGTCATTTTATGACCCCATGCATTGCATAAGTTCTGATTTCTAAAAAACTAGACACCTGTTCTTCCCCTTTTTTTAATTAATAGTTGAGTTTTTCATCTTTATCTGCCTTCTGTGAAGTACTAGAAAGAACTTCCAATATTTTCCCTCCCCAACAGACCTTTAATCTGATACTGGTGTGATAGAATGACTCTGATGGTCTTCCGGTTTGTTGTACGAAACATTTTATTTCTTGCGGTTGCCAAGTTCTGTGCGCTATTTTTTGTTCCCAATTAATGTAATTTTTGCTTGTTTACAATGTTTATGAAAGTTTTGCTGCAATAAGTACAAAACTGTTTTCCTATCTAACAAAAGTCCACTAACTGTGCATGAAAACCAACCACGTTACCTAAAAGCTTATGAAAATCAAAGATCTCGCTACGTCACCTGTTAGTGATCAATGCAGTTAATCTGTGCTCGAATCATGAAATACAAGTTCACATATTAAACAGTTTTTGTCAAAAATCACCAAAATAGAGATTAAAAACTTACTCATAAAGAAATTTTGTTTGATAAATTGAGAACTATTGGAACTAACAATTTGTACCCAATTTTTTGCCCAAGGAACATATAATTTCTGTGCGAAACTGTTATCTTAAATAAAACAAAATATAAATAAGTGTTACTATATACGTTCATGTCTTCATTGAAACAATCACATCGAGTATAATATAATAATTTATATATTAATTTTCAGATAAATATTATGTGTAAATAAATTTTACCACAAAAAGAATAGTAAAAAACTTTAAATAGTTAAGTAATATATACAGGGTGGCCACTCAAATCAGATTTCAAATTTCCCTGATTTTTCCAGGTTTTCCAGATAAAAATCTTAAAATTTCCAGGTTTTAGTTTCCTTATTCTAATTAAGTGTAGGCAAGAAAAGTGTCTATATTATAAAATATTTTACTCAAAATGTTATTTTTTTAACATCTTGTCTTGAAAAAAATAATTTATTTCGACAATTTGGCAAGATTTTTTATTCATTTTTTAATCTTTTGGTACAAAATTTTGTATCAAAAATCATATATTGAGCAACAAAAGAGTAAAATTAAATATTAGTATATAGTTCTTAAAAAAAACCTTTTTTTAAAATGAAAACATGTCATAAAAGGTTAAAATGAAATAGAAAAAATTAGCATAAATGCAACAATTGTAACAATTTGTCGATAAACATTGCTGTTAGCGATTGTAAAAAAAGGTTGTGATTGGTTGGTTTGCTGAGAAAAAATAATTCACAGATTTCTCTTAATGGGAATACAAAAGCTTTCAAAAAAAAGAGTGCAATATAAAATCTATTATTATTATTAAATTATAACCAACTAATTTTTGGAGAATTTTATAAAGTAAAAAATACAAAAACATTTTGTCAAAATGGAAAAAAATTACCACGAAATCATTGGAACAAACTTAAGCCATAAATGGATTCAGCCCAAGGGCAGAATTTAAAAACAGAAGCTAATATCCTAATCCCTTCTTCCACCTCCACCACAGAGCTGTAATGGAGCAAATTTTGATGCAAGCAAAGTATTGCTAAGTTGATGATATTTAAACTGCTTGGAGATACATTTCCGTCTAAAAAAAATGGGTATAATGGATGAAATAATTTTAATTAAGAAAATTAGTAAATAATTTAAATTAGTGAAATTAAAAAAATTCCAGCTTTTCTTTAAAATTCCCTGATTTTTCCAGGTTTTTATTCAAATTTCCCTGATTTTTCCAGGTTTTTTCCAGTATAAAAAAATTCCCTGATAATTCCAGGTTTTCCAGGTGGGTGGCCACCCTGATATATCCAATGTATAACACTCAAAAAAAGTGTTAGATTTCAAATCAAAATTAGAAATGCTTTTAGCAGTTTAGCAATGCGGTAAATGAATTTCCTCTACTGCACTGCTAAAGCACGGCGGAGACGTATGTCCTCCCAGTTTAATATAAAAATAATGTTGACAACTTAAATTCATCTATAATTTTTTTCAAAATATTTATTTGATACTTACAAAAGAATAGTAGGAAATCCAGCAACAGAAAACTCATGGGCTACATTAGTGAATCTTGTACAGTCTATCCTACCAACTCTAATTTCAGTATCAACTAACGATTGGGCAACTTGATTCCAAACAGGTTCTAAATTTTTACAATGACCGCACCATGGAGCATAAAACTAAAATGCAAAAATGTTTTATAAGACACTTTCCTTATGTAATGTTATTATGTCAAAGTTTTTTTAACACCTAGTTGGCGCAAGAGCAAAAAACATTTAATCTTAATAAGGCATTTTGAAAAAAATGAAATTTTTATTACATGTTACATCTAAAATGTAACACAATGAAGCATAAGACTAAAATGTATATTAAAATTAAGATAATGATCAATAAACCGTTATTTTTAATACATAAATAAGAAAGTCTATATTATATCATAACTTTCACAAAAATTCACATCACAGAAGAGAAGAGCTAATGCTGATAAATGCAAAATAAATATTGTACCATATCAAGGATCATTTTATGAAAAACTTCGTATTAACAAACATGAAAGTATTTTCACAAAATTAAGTACTTTTTTCTCAAATCACAAAAATGGACCTTTCACAAATGTCTGATAAAACTGGTCTGTATTTGCCAGTAGCTTTCATCACTCAAGATATGTAAAATTTGATTTTTTCTTAAATAATTATAAAAATTCAAAACATTAAAGCTTCTAAACAAAAACCTGCTCTTTACGCAATTTTTATTTGGGCATATAGAGTACAACAATGATTCAGTATTTTCTGGCGTGTAGGTCAAACATAAAAATTTTAAAACCTCAAACTAGTGTGGGGATGGAGTTATCGACAATGCCAACCTTCATCTATTAAAAGGTACCTCTTGATTGAATCAAGTTAGCATGTCTTATATACCAATGAATTGATCTTTAATTTTTGTAGATGATATTTAGATGTTTGACTTATACACCAGTAATACATAGATAAACTAATTTTTTTTCCCAATTAAACATAACTGATGAAAAACAATTACGAGAAAAATAAAACAATTATAACACTATCAAATAACAAAAATATGACTTTTTACAGCATGCTATACATCTTTTAAATTAGTAGGTACTATAGAAGCAGAACATTTTCAAATGTACATTCGAACTTTATTAATCTTTTATTGAATTATTTTTGAGTTACTGCCAAGAAGTTATCGATGTTTTACAAAAAATATTTTTGGTAAACACATTTCACATCAACTCAAATCAGTTTTTTTTTTCTTCTAAAGTAGGGGTGCACAACCTGCGGCCCGCGGGCCAAATGCGGCCCTTCGACTACTGAAGTGCGGCCCGCGAGAGTTTCTAAACACAATAAGAATTTTTTTTAAAAATGGCAATTTTTAATCGCACTTTAAAGTCATCACGTTTTGACACAATCAATTTTAACAGATTCTTTAGTAAATGTACGTTTAACGCGCTTTCTTGAAGCCAAATTTATTGTAAATATAAATGATTTTTTTTAAACAGTTATTTCCGCTTTTTCTACGTGATTTTGAAAATTCCGAATTTTTATAACGACGCGAGTTTCAGATCACAAATTTAAATAATCACTTTTTGGGCACTTCAATTGTGACGATTTCATCTTAAATCTAAGTGATTTTCTATCTTTTTTTTGCAATTCTTTCTTTTTCTTCAAAAATTTTTCTCGGCAGTTATTGCTATGCGTTCCTACGTATCATAAAAAATTCCAATTATTCTGCTACGACATGCAAATTTTAAATCATGCATTTGACGCGCTTTATTTGTGCTGAGTTCAGCATAAATATATTTTTTCCTAATTATTTCTATACTTTTCCACATGATTTTGACGATCCCGTTATTTAACTATGATGTTATTACGACACGTGATTGTTAATCGCGCAATTAAATAATCACTTTTTGATACGGTATTTCGGTACAGTTTTATCGTAAATCCTAGTTATTTTTCCTTCGTTTTTATTTCCGCAACGAATATGATTTGGTCGAATGTGGTAATGAATTGTGATTTGATCAAAAACCAAATATTCGGAAAAAAAAAGAAGAAAAAATCGACTGAACGCCGTACACTTGGGGCCAAATAGCAAAATCTTTTAGCAGCATAGCAACACTGAAACTAAAATTTCAATGCTCAGAATAATATTTCCTGGAAAAACGTATTCATAAATTAACTCTAAAAAATAAGGCCAATCAAGAACGTTTTTGAAAATGTCGAAAAGCGAAACAGAGAACATAAAAATCAATCTTAATTTTTGAAAAATTTTTTTAAAGCTGAACATCTCAGTTTTTCAATTACCAGAAAAAGCCAAGAAAAAAGAATTAAGTCAACAGAAATGCTATTAAAAATTACTGCGTTATAATGAAAACGTCTAAAAAAAGTTTTTTTTCTTCTTATTTACAGAAAATAAAAAGATAGAAAAAATTTTCTTAATTTTTTAAGTGAAAATCTTATGCCGAAAATCTCAATTTAAATTTTTCTCATTGCCATAATTTTAGAAGAAAAAAAATTGCTATAAATGTTTTTTTTATTTGTAACTTTATTTTTAAAAAAATGCTGAGTCATAATAAAAATGCCTAAAAAAAGAAAAACAGAAAAAACAAATTTTTCTTAGTTCCTGAAACAAAACTTTAATGCTGAAAATCACACTTTTCTATGTTACTGGTTATTTATATTACAGTACAGGGAAAGAGTGATAATAAATTAATAGTATGAGACGTTCTGTTAAAATGCTGGGTTATAATAAAAACTGCAAAAAATGGATCCTTCTCAATTCTCAAAGTATCGAACAAATGACAAAATTGACTTGTCTGATTATAATTTGAAAAAAAAAAAGTAATATCTATAAAAATTCAAAAATAAAAAAAAACTTAGAAAAATGCATTTCTAAAAAATATTTTGCCAAATATTTGACTGATCATTCAACCAACTGAATTTTTCACAGAAGGGCCAAATACTCCCTCCCTAATTTAAATGCAATGTTATTGCAACTTGAGAAATTCATAAAATGGCGGAAAACGTGAATTTTTAAACTGCTCACTGTTAGTAGTTTAGATTTCAATTTTTTGTTGCTTAAGTGATCTTTTTCGATAAAAAAAAGGAAAATGTTTACGATATAAAAAATCTAATAATTAATAAAATAAAATAATAAAGTACATTACAAAATAAGCATTGAATTTTATTTTGAACTATCACAGTTTTGTTTTTATTTTAGGCTTTTGTTTAAAACCTATAAATTTTCTTCAATTAAAATATTTAATTTGAATTTATATTACTTAATTACGACTAAACTTTATCCTACTTTCATTCTGTGGGCATTGCATTTTTTTTTTTAATTTATTAGAATTTAATTCTAAAATGAGTTTTCATATTGCATGATATGATAAAAAAAAAATATTTCTTTTCTTCAATGTTTATTTATTTTGATAAATCTATTGTTCATATGAAAAAAATAGCAAATTTTTTTGTAAAAAAAAAAAAAAGTATAGGTTTTTTTATTTTTGAATGAATTCTAATAATGGAGCACTACTAAGTTATTAATATTACTAAGTTTATTAATAAAAAAAATGGAACGCTAATGTTTAAATAAACATTATTACATTTGTCATTAACATGTCTAAATACATGTGCGGCCCTTCGTTAGCCAACCTGCTGTGCAAGTGGCCCTTCCCTCAAAAAGGTTGTGCACGCCTATTCTAAAGGGAAAAATAAAAAGTATAACGTTAGCAAACTTACCATTACTAGCCACATACCATTGCTACGAACTTCAAGAAACCTAAATAAAAAAACATTAAAATCATTTTATAAAAGTAACTCAAGTTTAAGTACAAACGCACATTATAAGGGATGCATTAGCAATCTAAGCTAACACGTGTATTTTCATTCACAGATATTCCCAATATACAGGGTGTTTATAAAGTCCCGAACCCATTTTGATGTTTAATAACTCATAAAATAATAAAGATAGATTAAAATTAATAACATAAATGGTTAGACAGACTTAAAAAGTTTCATGACCCTTGTCAATCAACTTCCACGTGTGCCCCCTTCGTCGCACGGAGAATATCAAGTCGATAGTCAATTTCACGCCAAGTAGCGGCAAGCATGTCGGCACCCACAGAGGCTATTGCAGTTTTCTGAAGCTCATAATGTTCTCCGACGAAGCATCCTTTCATGTTTCTGGCATTGTTAATCGCTATAATGTGCGCATATGGGGATCTGAAAACCCCCATGAATACCCTGAGACACAAAGGGATTCCCCAAAGGTTAATGTGTGGTGTGGACTAATGCACGACCGAGTCATTCGGCCTTTCTTTTTTACAGAAAAGACGGTCTCATCAGTCGTATACTTAGACATGTTGGAAAACTTTGTATTACCACAACTAGACGAGCTTCAGCCACATGTCTTTTTGTAACAAGATGGTGCACCACCCCATTGGGGTATCATCGTTCGTAGTTCTTTGAATGACCATTTTCCAGGAAGATGGATTGGGCGAGGAGGTCCAATTCCTTGGCCACCCAGATCACCTGATATAACGCCGCTGGACTTTTTTCTTTGGGGATTTATAAAGGACAATGTTTACAAGAGGATCGTGTCGAACATTGATGACCTAAAAGCCAGAATTACAACCGCAATAGCCTCTGTGGATGCCGACATGCTTGCTGCTACCTGGAGTGAAATTGACTATCGACTTGATATTCTGCGTGCGATGAAGGGGGCACACGTGGAAGTTCATTGACAAGGGTCATGAAACTTTTTGAGTCTATCTAACCATTTATGTTATTAATTTTAATCTATCTTTATTATTTTATGAGTTACTAAACATCAAAATGGGTCCGGGACTTTATAAACACCCTGTATAATAGGTAACAGACAATGAAAATTGTTAATTAATGTCAATTAGTTTTTCTTATGTTCCCAGTTTAACAGGAAAAAAAAAGGTTCCTTTTTTTACACTGAGATCAGGTGTTTTTCAAGGATGTATATTAATTTGACAGACCAAAAAATTTGCAAACATTAGACTTACATTTAGCCATTAAATTTTTTATTCAAGAAATAATATTGACGCCTGTGATACTTAATTAAATTTAGTGATACGTATGGGAAGATTTCCGCATAGGTACATAAAAAATGTACAATAGTAATAAGCGTTAACAGCCCTTTGAAACCTTAAATTTTTACCTTAAAATTTGACTCTGAATTGCAACAAAATCTTAAAAGCATAGGAGTGAAATTAAGTATTAAATCTAATCAGTCATATTGAAAACAAAATTTTAATATAGAATATTATAATATAATATAATGAACGGAATAACTGGATTAATAAAGAAATCATATTACCTGTCACTAAGTTCTAAAACCCGGTTTGAGGCAATAACAGAAACGAAGAGCAAAGCTACAATAAAAAATAACAATTATTTTCAATGCAAAAAATTAATATAAAGTAGTTAAAATTATTACTTTAATTATTCTAAGTTCACCTGAAATAACAGCTCTGGAAAAACTAAAAAGGTGCATTTTGCTGTCAAAAAACAGTAACTATTATCTGAATTCGAGAACTATCATGCTAATCACCATAACGATTGTTAAAATCACAAAAAACTTCTTTTTTAAAGAATATTTAGACTTATTAATGTTAAACAACAAAGTAAGCTTTCAAAAATTTCCTTCTTGTTATAGCTTTTATTTATTTTAACTTTCAATTGCGGTTATTAAATTAGAAACGCATATAGCTACTTATTTTTGCTTAACTATAAACCGGCTCATAACTTTTGCAAATTTGAATTCCCCACGTAGTGGAGATTTTTTGTAACTATAAGAAAGGTCTGGGTTTTTTGGTTTTTCCCAGGTTTTCTGTTTATCGATATTTTAAACGCCATGATTAAAGCACCTGGGATAACAATCTAAATAAAATACTAATTTTTCAAAAATATAGAGTAAACTGCTTGATTTGTTTAAAATTATTTCGTAAGTATAAAAATTTTATAAAGAAAATAAACAAAAAAAAATTTTTTTTCTCCCTTAACTGCCATTTCTTTCTGTCAAAAACTTTAGTTTTAAATTTCTCTTCTTCTTTGAATTTAATATTTGGCTCCATTTGTTACAAAATAACCATAATGCAAAATAAAGAAAAGAAAATTAACTTTATTAATAATAAGTTTACACTATTGCTTGCCACATACATTTTTCAATATCGGATTTTGCTCAAGCAAAAATATTTATCGCAGAAGACGGTGAAATGAAATGATTTAGGAGAAAATTAGGGGAAGGGAAGTAAAATTAATTACAATATTAGGGAAGAATATAAGTGGAAGGGGGTAATATTAGGGGAATTAGGGGATTACAAAGGGGAAGAGAGGGGCATCTAGTTTAAAATATGTTTAAAAAATTCTAAGTAGTTAAAGTATTATTAGTAGTGTTTTATTCATTTTACACTAGAGCTGCACATTGGGCTGTTGGCGATGGTTTGGGAGACATCTCTGACGATGATCTGGAGACATGGATCACAATTTTGATCCTCTGCAGAGGGGATGGCTCTCCCGCAGTGGCGTATCTAGGGTATGGCAGGCATGGCTAGAGCCATGGGCGCATTATTTGAAAAAGGCGCAAAATCAACCAACACCAACGTTTCTTTCGTTTTTTCAATTTTTCAAAATATTTTGATATTTTGCTTGTTTTAAAAAAATTAATTTAACTCGTATACTAATACAAATTTTAAAAACAATAATACAAATTTCAAAAAAATAAATAAAACATTGAAAAGAATCATTTAGAAAACTCTCCAGAAAGCAGAATAAAAACTTCCAATGATCGGATCCTCAGATAAATCTTTCTTTTTCCAGTACCACAAGCAAAAAGACAAGATAAACATCTCTTCATATCACATTACCAGGATGTAAAAGGGCAATTATCTGGGGATGAATAGAACACCTGCAGGCATAGAAAATAGCCCTTTGGTGGTGACAGAGGGCAAAGAGATGTGAAAACCATGGGGTGTCCCTGTCCAGTTTAGCCCAATTATCTTAAATTTTATCAGGGGTGAAAATCACTTTGAAAAGCGACTTTCGAATTTGTTGAATATACAAATAGAACCCTTGCTGTAAATTAGCGTAAATCCTTTCAAAAAGGAAAGTTTTGCCACACATGGTGGGAATCACTGTCACAAAACATTTAAATACTAAAAACAGGAGGTGCCTCTGCCTTGCTTAAACCAGACAGCCATAAATGTAATTTAAACGAAGTATTAGGATTTTCTGAAAATCAAGGATTAAATTGTAAGTAATCATTTCTTATGTATTGAAATCATGCTCACTTCATTATTTCACGTTATATTTTATAGCGATCGATATACTTTCTAGCAATGCCAACTGCTCCACTTTCTTTAAAATATTTTATTCAGTGGTAGTCAAAAACGAAACCATGCAGAATTTAAGATAATTCTGGTAAAATTTATAATTCTCAAAATAACCAAAACAAAATAACAGTAAACAAAAGTATGTTTCACGTGATTTTTTTCAATTATTTATTATTTAAACGTAGAAAGGGAAAATGGTTTTACATTAAATAAACAAAGAATCATACAATAAATGTAACTTTTGCACTCAATAAAAAATATTTTTCTATACGGAGCAGAGCAAGTTTGTATCTCTGTATATGCAGATTCAGAGGGGCGTTTACTACATTATAATATTTTGTTTTTGTATATAATTATTTTTATAAAACAAAATCGTTTAATATGCACAATGATATTTTGGTAACAAAAAGTGAACTTCGTGAATTAAATGCTCGTTATTGTATTATTATTAAAAACAATGTCTTAATGGGAAGAAAAAACGAATGTTAAAATTTGAAATGTTGGAAACATAATTGCAATAAGTAAATATTTTTGTGTAAATTACGTAAATTACGTAGCATTACGAAATAGATTTCCTTTCATTCATTAAAAGATAGATTTTAGGTTTAAACACTCATAAAAGTTCAATTTATTTATTTTTAATTGGTTAATTTATTTATTGAATGAATAGATTAAGGAACGTATCGTTAATTGTTCAAACTGATCTTTTTTTTTTTTTTTTTTTTTTTTTTAATTTTGCCCTTAAGTCACAGAAATATTATTCACACTCAATTTTAATTTTAAATTAATGACTTAAGCTCAAGTTTAAATAATTCTTTTGTTTACAAATTGAGAAAAAAAAGAGTTGTGTAATTTATCAAGACCTTACTTAGTATTTTTTTTAATTTCAAAGCATCTTATTTGTCCATTATAATTAAAATAAAATGGAAGAAAATATCACTGAGGCTTATATGTATTTGAGGCTTATTTGTAGGCACATATGTATTTTATAACTATCTATTAAAGCAGCACAATAAAAAAAATTTTTCATTAATTAATTCCCTTTATTTTAAGAAAATAAGAAAAAATTAATAATAAACATCTTATAGAAAAATTCGAGCTTGTTTATTTATTAAACATATGCATTTTTATAAAAATTCAAAAAGCCCTCTGTCCTCAAAATATTCAAAAGATTTATATTTCGCTTTTTTTTTTAAATTTTGGAAAGACTTATTCGGATAATGGCTTCGTCTAAAAAATATCGATGGTTATATCCTTTATTTTAAATATTAATTATTTGTTGCTTGTAAACTGAAGTTGCATTTTAATCTAAAGGTTCTCGATTGGGTAAATTTTTAACCGCTTAAAATTTTAAACTTACTTATTACCCCAGACAATATTTAAATTTAAAAAAAATGTCTCTGCACCATTAAATGTTTAAACGAATAACCGCTAATGCAAAAATTTACTTTATTAATAATTATGTATTTGTCGATCTATGTGTTAAGATTAAATTTGATCATATGAACTTTAAATCATTTTTTCTATAAACGTGCATTTCGTCTCTCCCAGAGCCGTTTTTAAGGATGGGCCCAGTGGGCCCTGGCCCAGGGCCCCGAGTTCCATAGGGGCCCCCGAAAAGTCTAAAATCTCATGGCATTAATTGTTTTTTTTTTCTCTTTAAATTCTAACTCATTTATTATTTATAACATAAAAGGTCCCCCAGATCCCACTTTTTTCTTCTTTTTTAGAAAAGTTTTATTCGGAGCTGGAGTCCTCTGAAGCCCATAATACATTGTTTTTCTTTTTTAGATTGTCGGACGCCTTTCAAAATCTAAACGAAGAAGTGTTTACAATTATAAAATTGTTACTCTTCACTTTTCTATTCAAAAGAGCAATAAAACACTCTTTCCGGTAACGAAAATATCCCCTCTTTCCCAGCTACCACCCACAGAGTTGTCAAATAGCCTCCTCACTTTACTCTGTGAGAAAATGCTTTTAGTTTCTTTAAATTGCCTTGGGCTCTTTTTTTCCCAGCTTCCGAAATATCAGATATCCTCGAAACACCCTTTTGTCTGATTCCTGGTCATAAATTGTTTGAAACAAAAAATTCTTAGGGCTGTAAATAGGGGAAGGGTCTTCTTAGTATTCTTTGGGTCATTCTGTCTCGAGATTTGCGTTTTGTCACATTATCGTTAAATTGGTCCTCGTTCAATTTTAATTTTTCTTTTTAAACAAAATTTAAATATTTTTCCTAATTTATTATTTTTTTTCTGATTTAAAATTTAGATATTCTTTAATTATCTTAAATGTTCCAACTAGCTTAATTGTTTAATTTACTTAATTATTGTAACTGATTTTATTTTGTAATTTTCCAAATTAATTGTACATGAATCCGCGAACGAGGAATTTCTGTATCAAATTTTTGTAGGATATCAAGAAGACAGAAATTTTTCACCTGTGGAGGTAAGCAAATGTTTTTATTAAATCAACTTTTGTTGCAGTTAGGGAAAACATGAAAAGTTTGCACAGTTTTTTATTAAAACATTTTTTAACATAATAAATTTTAAAGTTGAAATTATTTATTATCTAATAGCTTATAATATTTGTCCCCTGTTTACATCAATATTTTTTACCCAAATTCGAAACTTTATCAAATTAAAAAATATATTTTATAAATAATTTTTTAAGAGCTAAAAAACTGGGTCAAATGTTCTTATTAAAGGGTAATTTGTCCCAATTTATTCTGAAGGATGAGTAGTTAAAGAACCAACAAAGCAATAAGTGTATAAAAAAATTTGATAATTTTGTTTAAAGAAACATCAAATTTAATAGTTATTTACTAATGAAAAGTAAGAAATCTGAAGCATCATTTGTTTAAATCTCCTGTATGACCAAATTTTCCATGTTTCCCCTAAATATGAAATATGTTTAATTTGTAATATTATATTTCAGACACAAAATTCATTTATTTAGTTAGCTTATGATTTTATTGTTTATTGATCATATTTGTTTCCATTTTTAACTCCTTGATTTTTCTTGTTAAAGTTATGTGTTTAAAGTTAAGAAGGCTTCTAAATTTTTTTTATTTAAAAAGGCTTTTAAATTTTTAAAGCAAAGTCGAAACAACTTCTTAAAATTGTAAATCGAAACTATATATGAAATTTTGGCAGCTTTAGTTTTATTTTAATGAAGTTTTATTTTCATTTAATTTAATAAAATAAGAACAAATAAAAAATATAAATAAATCACTGGATAAAATAAAATACTTCGTTGTCATTAGACGGGAGCATATTTGTTAAACAATTTGAATATTAATAAATTATTTAAAAATAAGCAATTTTTTAGTGTAAAATATAAAAAAGTTTTTGATTAGTTTAAAAGGTAATTTTGCCCCATCATTCGATCATAAGAATACTTAA